ATCAAACCGGTAAAGCGACGATCGGAATCCGGTAGTTTCGTTAGAGCATTGTGCCCAAGCTGGCCGAAGAGCGCCCGGACGCGTTTGATTGATTTCCCCCCCCCCCCGTTCTCTGGCTAATGAGCTCAGAGGACCCGGTTCCCGTGGACCACGATACCGATCCTTTTAGAGGAAAAAATACGGAAATCCAGACGTGTTACGATCTCGAGTCTGCAGGCTGTTACGTAATTTCTGAAGGCGCGCGCGATTGTATATATCTCTGTGTATGTGTCTTCTCTATTCTGCTACGATCTCAGTCATCGAGTGTATCTCCCTTAACGCTTGTGTCCCCAAAGGTCCCACCATATGTATGTATGCGCACGAGGGTAGCTGCCCCACCAGAACGAAACGCGACAGTATTCCCGACCGTCGTGTATATCCGCGCAAGAAATACACGCGATTCCCCCTTTCAATACATTACGAGGCAATTTTCTCTGTTAGAAGCAATTGCCTTGGGTTTCACCCCGAGCCGGCAAAGAAATCCCATAAAACCGTCCCCGGTAAAACCGCATCGCGATGAAGTCTCGTTGAAAAGATCCGCCGCTGGCGGTTATATTCGAGACGTTTAACGCCCCCTCCCTCTGATCCGCGGGGGAGATTCGTTATTTCCGGGACGAAATCGCGACTCTGGGTCTGTCCACCGTTTCTGTAAAGGTGACAGAGTATTGCCTCCAGTATCTTGAGGAACAAGGGAGTATGGGACACAGCGATAAAACCCGTGGGTCCTCGAATTATGTACACGAGCGTGTGTCTATGGAGGGGGGACCTGTCAGGTTCGACACCCCATCAAGAATCGACACGGGGCCTGTTTTTAAGGAGGCTGTCAGCCCATTCGGTAACACCCTGTATACATCGCAAGGGGCCGAGGTTCGGTAGTTGATTAGATTTAAAAGAATGCCCCGTCACCTGCGCCGTTGAAAGGAGACTAGGCCCAGGGGCAGGCTGGTGGGGCGCGTTCGTGGCCGGTAGGAGGAGAAACACAGTGGGGAGAAGACGGAGAAAGAGAAGGGGGCGAGAGGGACCGTAGAGCGGAGAGAAGGGAAGGGAGACGATCGTGAGCAACGAGGGGCCCGAGCATGAGGCCCCAGCGATCACTGACCGCTTTCGCCGATCCCAGCCGCCAGCTAGCCACCTTTCAGCGGCGCAGCCATCGGGGCATCCTCCTTCTTAAGGCTCATTCACATCGCGTCGCTAATCAAAGCCGACAACCGAAGTGGAGTGGGGGGGAAAGAGGGGGAAAAAAGTGGCGCTGGTAGTTTGGTTCCCGGAGAAATACATGGGAATTCGGTTCTTTCCGCCGAATCGCGAGCGGGTGCCCCTCTCTCGCTCTCTCTCACTCTCTCTTTGGTTGCGCAACGCCCACGGGGAGAGGATTCTTCTCGTCTTGATCCTCGTTTCACGGCGAAACCGTAATTTTTGGCGTGTACCGTCGTTAGACGGCATAACGATCGACGGTATATCGTCGAACTGTAATTAAACGAGAAGTTTAGAAACTTGCAAATACGGGTGGACGGGAAGGGGGACGAGTTTCGCGAGCGTAACCAGTCGAAGAGCCCGTGAACTTGAATACCGCATCAGGTTTCGCGTGTATTACGTGTAATTGAACGGGGTTTTCTCCACGCGGAATTATGGAATGTTACGTGGATCATTGAATTTTCCGGAACTATTGAGTAGAAGGTTATTCACGCAATATTTCTAAAATATTCAAGCACCTGTCGACTTTTTAAACGAACGTTCGATAAATTTTTTTTGAAGACTGAATGGTCATTCGTTTTTTTAGAATGAGTAAAATTGGTACTAAATGTTATATGAATTTGAAATACCGAACCTAATCCGGACCGAAAATCACTGGGCTACCGAATAATCATCTCCGTGGAAGCGAACGACTTTTTCTGGGAAGGAACCGGGGAATTCTGTATAATGAGGAAGTATTGTGAGAAAGAACCCGCGGGGTGATCGAGGCACTTAACTGGTTGCAGTTCTCGCTTTACGGAGAGTGATATATGGTTAATTCGCGAAACAACCAAACACACGTGCAGTAACGTTGCGGGCCCGATTCATTGACGACTAAAATGCAGACTATGGGCAATTACCGTGGCGAAAGAGAACCCAGCTAGCAGAAAGGTGAAATATTATACCGATTTATGCCCACGGCCTTGGCAGAGATCTTGTAATAAGGATCAATGAGCTCGTACGATAAAATACACCTTTCGAGAGAGATACACGTTCACACACGCCGATCAGGGGTTTATTTTCCTCGCAACAGCTATTAATGACAATGAACACCTATACGTTTATTTACGTGGCCTCCTTTTAAGTCCCGTAATTATAAATCGTTTTACCGAACGATCGTCGATTATGCACGAAGAAAATGTAAATACCAGAGCGACGATCGCTTTGAACGATGATGGATCGAGTCAACGGTAGCTAACAGTCAAGGGAACGAGCCACTTAACCTCGACGTACTGGATTTCTGTCGCGTAAACCGAAGGCAACGAACTATCACAGTAGCAATTCGAGGAACAAGACGCCTCGAGCTACGAAATTTCTATTCGTAAATCTAAGAAATAAACTTAATAAGAATCGAATGAATAGAATTTCCGATGTATTAGAAATTCTAGTGTATACAGAAACCCTGTGGTATACATTTCAATACATTATACAGGTGATTCCATGGACGCGACGTTAAAAGAGACGTGTGTGCGCGCACACGTCGACCGGAATCGGAACGAATCAAGCGCGACGACGAGGTCAGCATTCATTTTACTAATGATACTTTTATTGGGCCGATGAAAATGATGTATCCTCCTATTTGAATTTCGATGAGTAAATCAAGGCATGCTCCGACGGTGGACGTAGCGGAGAGAAAGAGAGAAAGAGAGAGACGGAGGACCGGCGGCGGCCTGCCAATGCGGGGACCCCTACTTTGGCCAGGTAAAGGTAACAAATCACTTTTCAACGACGGGAGATGGAACTACCGAGCACTGTTTTCTGAAAGGAGGCGGACTCCTTCTCCTCTCTTTCTCTCTCTCTGTGGGGAACCACTTGACGTGTCCCTACACACGGTCCCTGACACAATGCGTCCGATCGTTTTACACTCAATGGGACGGAGAACGCGCGAATCCCAAACAGACCATAAAGCTAATAATGACGCGGCGAAAAACCCCCCGCGTGAAAGGGAAGAGAGGCATTTCAACCCCGGGGGCCCTAGATTTTACAAAAGGAACGGGTGAACGTGCGACTGGTTACGGAAAGGGGTGGGGGGGAAGTGTGATTTTCTTCGCTAAGCTTTTCCCCCACGAGGACTGTTTTATCCCGTTGGGGAGCCGCGATAACGAGAATTTCATAGGATCCCTCCGGTAACGAGCGTGTAATCTCGAGATAAAAGTAATTCACACCAGTCACTCCGCCACGGCGCAAAGGATTATCTCTACTACCCTCTCTCTCTCTCTCTCTGTTTCTTTTTCGTAGATATTCAATTCTGCGAAAATCCACGAAGATCCGTTGAAAAGAACAATGTGCATGCCGTGTAACATCAGATACATGGGCTCTCCGTGTAGATTATAAATCGACGGGAAGCTGCCTTACGAGAGAAAGAGAGAGATGGTTACGGACCAGAAGGGTGAGAGAAAGAAGGAGAGAGAGAGAGAAAAAAAAAGAGGAACGGCTAGTTGCAAAATACTAGCCGGGGACTCGCGACAACTGGAATGCGAATGGGAACGGGATTCGCACAAAGGCATTGAGCAAACATTCTTTTTCGAGGTTTCATTCTTCGTGACAGAATCGTAGAAACGATGTGAGAACAGATGACGGTGAGGCAAGGTTTCACGGACGAATCGAACGGCAATACGGCAAAAGGGATAGAGAGAAAGGGGGTAGGAGGGGAAGAGCCAGAGAACGAGGTAGAGCCAAGGGAACACGAGATGCGGGGTGTGAGAGTGTATGTGTTTCGCGTCTGTGTGTGTATGTGTCTGTGCATGAGAAGGAGGAAGGGGTCGGGAGGGGGCCCAGCCACGGGAGAACGAGTAGAACGAGGACGAGTAGAGCTGAAAAAGGTCGGGAGGGACAAGGAAAATAAGAACGTGGTGGATGGAGGCTGCAGATGCTGAGGAGCCACTGTAAGGGCCCCGGAGAGTGTACCTGTCTTGTTTTTATAGGCTTGCCAGAACGTCGGGCCCCGGCCACGGTGGACGACGACTACGACGACGAAGGAGAGAAGGTGTCCCGCGTGGTGGGGGAAGGAAGGACGGCTGGGACGGGCGGCGCGGCGAGGAGAAACACGTACAGGGTGGGCGGAGGGGCGAGGGTAGCGGTGCCAGTTCGGGCCTTACAACTTGCCAACCAGTCCTCGGAGAACCGTGGGTCTTACCGGAGCCGTATAATACCCGTGTGTGTATCTGAACGCGGCCCCGTGAGTTTTCGTCGTTCCTCGGGAAGGATTTTTCTCGCCAGGGTGTATATATCGATAATCCTCGTAGAGGTCGATGAACCCACGCGAGCGAGCAAACACACGTACAAAGCAGACACACACACACACACACACATATATATCTTCCAGCTTGGTGTACCCTGTGTGTCGACGTTCACCATTCCGGATACACTGTCTCAAGGATGAAATCTCCAGGATTATATTATAGAGCTTAGCTGGTCCGAGGATCGGTAAAGAAGAAGAATCTCTCGGGTTGAAAACGTAACCGCGATTAAGATTGAAAACGCTTTACCGAGATGAGACCGTTCTCCGCCGGTGAACCGAGAGGATCGCAGTGACATGGACGACGTGAGGTAAAAGAAAAAACGATCGTTACGGTCTCCAGGATTTAAATGGATCGCGGCCGGTTTCGCGACAGATAGGAAGTCGCCGCCTCGGGGTGGAACGCGCGCGCGCGCGTGTGTGTGTGTGTACCGCGATCACGAACCGGGATTTGATGGAAGATTGAGAGAGTGGAGGCACGGGCGGAAAGATGCGGGGCAGTCCTGCCTTCTTCGCCATATTACTGGGCACGATATTCGGTGTCCTCGGCGCGTCCCTCAGCAAAGCGCTCAGGTACAAAGCGCCGGACGAGTGCAAGTGGGTCGCGACCGGCGACACCGAGGATGACGTATCCCTGGTCTGCCGTTTACGAACGATCAACAGCGAGCTGGAGAACACGAATTTCAGCGTGATACAACCACAACATACGGTTCGATTGCGACTGGAATGCAGCGACGCGTTGTTCTATCAGAGCTCTTTGAGCGCTGGCAGCTTCAGACCGTTGGTCGAGCTACGGGAGCTGGTGATCGAGTACTGTAAAATCGGCAATCTATCGGACGAAGCGTTCAAAGGGCTGAAAGAGTTACGGAATCTGACCGTGAGGACGCACAACACCGACTGGTCGGCGATGGCGTTGGACGTGTCGGCAGGCGCGTTCACGGACGAGTTGCGGCAACTGGAGAAACTCGATCTCGGGGAGAACAACATGTGGAGCATACCGGAGGGCGCGCTCTGCCCGTTGATCAACCTCGAGATCCTAAACCTGACGCGGAATCGGCTACGGGAGGTGACGAGTTTTCGCTTCAACGGCGCCGCCAGATGTCTGTCGAACCTGAAGGAACTGGATCTGAGCAACAACAGCATCGAATCGTTACCGAGCGCCGCGTTCTCGGGCCTCACCAGGCTGCACAGTCTCGATCTACGATGCAACGCCATCAGCTTCATGGCGGATCGCGCGTTCGAGGGCCTCTCATCGTTGGCCATCTTGAGGCTCGCCGACAATCGACTCGCCAGCCTACCGCCCGAGCTCTTCAGCGACGCGAGGAATATACAGGAGATTCATCTGAGGAATAATACGTTGAATGTGTTGCCACCCGGTTTGTTCAGTGAACTCACGCAGTTGTTGGTGCTCGATCTCGCGCACAACGAGTTGACCGCCGAGTGGGTGAACGCGGCTACGTTCAGTGGTTTGGTACGTTTAGTGGTGCTCGATCTATCGAACAATCGTATCGCTCGTTTGGATCCGACGGTGTTCCGCGACCTCTACAGCCTCCAGATACTTCGGTTGCAGGAGAATCATCTCGAGAGCCTGCCGGAGAACACGTTCTCCGCGCTCTATAATCTCCACACGTTGCTGCTCAGCGATAATCTACTGACTGTTATCGACGCGACCACGCTGAGCGGACTGTACGTGCTGAATTTGCTCTCGTTGGACAACAACCGGCTGCACACGATACACCCGGGCTCCCTGAGAAACGCCTCGTCCCTGCAAGAGTTCCACCTGAACCGTAACCAGCTGAAGTCCGTGCCTGACGCGCTGAAAGCCACTCCCCTTCTGCGAACCCTCGACCTCGGGGAGAATCTCATTTCGGAGATACCGACCGGCACGTTCGACCACGTGGCGCAGCTTTACGGGCTTCGATTAACCGAAAATCATATCGGCAATCTCACCAAGGGCGTATTCGATCGTATCAAGGAGCTGAAGATATTAAATCTCGCGATGAACCGGATACAGTACATCGAACCCGGCACATTCGACGAGAACCTGAATCTCCAGGCGATACGTCTCGATGGGAATCAATTGACCGACATAGCCGGTCTGTTCATGAATCTGCCGAATCTGGTCTGGTTGAACGTCAGCGACAATAAACTGAAGTGGTTCGACTACGCGATGATACCGAAAACGTTGCAGTGGCTCGACATACATTCGAACGAGATACAGGAACTGGGCAACTACTTCGAGATCGAGAGCCAGCTACAGTTGAGCACGTTCGACGCGAGCGAGAACAAGCTGACCGAGATTACCGGTAACGCGATACCGATGAGCGTCGAACGGTTATACTTGAACGACAATCAGATCTCGAAGGTACAGAGCTACTCGTTCTTCAAGAAACCGAACCTGACTCGTGTCGATCTCAAGGGGAATCATATACGTAACTTGGAACCGTACGCATTAAGAATCAGCGCTGTACCGCCCGAGAAACCGCTGCCGGAATTTTACATCGGTGACAACCAATATCTCTGCGACTGTACCATGGAATGGCTGCAACGAGTGAACAGACAGAACCAAACCAGGGTGCAACCACGTGTGATGGATCTGGAGAGTATCTACTGCGAGCTACTATACGATCGGGAACACGCGTTCGTCCCATTGGTCGAAGCCTCGCATTCCCAATTTCTCTGCAAATACGATACACATTGCTTCACCCTATGTCACTGTTGCGACTTCGACGCCTGCGACTGCGAAATGACGTGCCCGTTAAACTGCACGTGTTACCACGATCAATCGTGGTCGGCGAACGTTGTCGATTGCTCGAAGGGCGGTCACGTCAGCAAACTACCCGAACAGATCCCGATGGACGCGACCCGGCTCTATTTGGACGGGAACGACCTGCGCGTCGTTTCCAGTCACGCGTTCATCGGCCGCAAGAAGCTCAAGGTCTTGTTCCTTAATTCCTCGAACATCGACATCGTGCAGAACCGATCGTTCAACGGCCTCCGGGACTTGGAGGACCTTCACCTCCAGGACAACAGGATACGCGAGCTAAGGGGACACGAGTTCGACGGTCTGGACGCGCTCAGGCAGCTCTACCTGCAACGTAACAAGATCGTGTCGATCGGTAACGACACGTTCGCGTCCCTGAGATCGTTGCACGTCCTTCGGCTGGAGAACAATCGTCTGACCACGCTGGCCGTGTGGACGTTACCGGCGTCCATCGAGGTCAGCCTGTCCGGGAACCCGTGGTCGTGCGAGTGCGACTATCTGCAGAGTTACCGCGAGTGGATACAAGGACCTAACGTTCGTGTGACGGACGCGTCCACGTTGCGATGCGTCTACAACGTGACGGAGTTCGAGGCGTTCGGTGACGATGTGTTCGCGGACAACGAGTTCGGTTTCTCGGTGGCGTACGACAGTGATCGCGAGAACAGCAACGACACCGCTGTGTGCTCGGGCTCGGCTAGCATCGACAACGAATTGCATCGTAACTATACGAAGACCATCATCGAGAAACAGGTCCTGCAGGATTATCTTCCGTTGTTGGTGGCCACTCTGGTCGGCTCGTTGCTCGTTGTGCTGCTGTGCATGCTGGCGTTCGTGTTCCGTCAGGAGCTACGTGTGTGGTTCCATTCGCGTTTCGGCGTCAGGATATTCTACCGTAACCACGAGGTGGACCGTGACGACAGGGACAAGCTCTTCGACGCGTTCGTCAGCTACAGCTCGAAGGACGAGGCGTTCGTCGCGGAGGAACTCGCGCCAGTCCTCGAGATGGGGAATCCATCGTACAAGCTATGCCTGCACTACAGGGACTTTCCAGTCGGTAGCTTCATAGCCGACACTATCGTGCAGGCGGTCGAGTCCTCCAGGCGAACGATCATGGTGCTCTCGGAGAACTTCATCAAATCCGAGTGGTGTCGTTTCGACTTCAAATCGGCTCACCATCAGGTGTTACGCGATCGTAGACGCAGGCTGATATTGGTTCTGGTCGGCGATGTACACCAGAGGGATCTCGATCCGGACATACGGCTGTATCTGAAGACCAACACGTACTTGCAATGGGGCGACAAACTGTTCTGGGAGAAACTACGGTTCGCGTTGCCCGACGTGCCCAACAACCAGAGGACCACCACGCAGAGGACGAGGCAGCCGCCGCCGGTCCGACGGCAGCACAACAACAGGACGTCCAATGGTTCGCGTACGGTCTCCGTGCACATATAAATTCCGTGGTGTGCTTTCTCGCGTGTGTGTCTGTGTGTACGCGTGTATATGTGTGTATGTGTGCGTATATGGTGTACGGATCATGGTTTTATTCTCGAGTGGGCGTCGCCCGTGAATTCGAACGACGAGGAGAACAGAGAATCGCGGTGCTGGGCGGCTACCCCAGGGTTATACAGTGCATTTCACTACGGTGCAATAACGTCGGCATAAGGATAGAGTGTAAATACAGCGAGGATTTCTATATATGTACATGCATCGACGAGATACGAAGTGTACGGAATGTAGGAGTGTTGTAAATAGACGTTCGAAATGGGAGTGAACATATATAAATATATGTATATTTAAGGTGCTTCCTCGTGAAAAATGGGATATATACGAGACATTATAGCGTCCCCCCCGGTGTGTCTGTGTACGTTGCAGCGAGTCTACCCAGTGAGTTGTCTAGATAGCTTAAAAAAAAAAAGAGAGAAGTCCGTTGTAAATATACGTATACGTCGGCCGTTGTTCCGTCATCGAACACACTGTGTGTTTCCGCGGCTCGTTTATTAGGGATAACAGCGCATGGAAATAATCTCGTCGGGATAAAGAGAGATTCTTGCGGCTCGTACTTGGCGGCACGCTCGCCCGTGTGCCATTCTGTTTCTTTTTTTTTTTTCTTTTTATCATTTCTGAATCTGTTCTATACGTTACTGCGCGGTCCTATCGCGGTAAGGAGCACGGTAGCAACCTCGATTCTTCGTGGTCGTACGAACGGGACTTCGAGGAATCGAACGATGGCGAATAAATCGTTACGACGCGTGCTTGCTCGTTACCGCGTGGAAAACGCGTCCACGGTCCTGAATCGTCGGCTCTAGGTGTTACAAATACCAGAAACAGTTCTGTGAATCGATCGAAAAAAGATGCGAGGCTCAAGAGAGAGAGAGAGAGTCGTGACGGGAATTTTTGGGTCGTAAACCTCGTCGACGGTGGAATCGCGAAAGAGCCGCGGTTCGTGACCAACAACCCCCTCACCCTTCAGTGGCTCTGCGCGCTAGCAGGCTGACAGTGATACCACTTCCTAATCGTAGGCTATCTCGATGTGTAATTTAATTGTACTTAGACTGGCTAAACGGCGAATCCTCGATCCAGGTTATATACATATATAGAAGCTTTTAGCCGTCCATCCGCCGAGCGGACACGCTCCGCCCATTGTCGTGTCGTCGTCGTGGGCGTGACGACGATTTGTAAAGTATTATTATATGCGTGCGTCTAATTCTTATTTATTTCGTCCGCGAGCGTTCACACACAAGGGACCCTCGCGTGACTACTCGCGGCCGAACGGACGCGCGAGCGTTTCTTCTCTTCCCCACATTCGCGATCTCCCACGCGCGAACCACAAACATGAACACACACACATATACATACTTGACACTACTCTTCTTTTCTCTCGACTCTTTTATCATTTTTTTTTTGTTTTTCGTTTTATTTTTGTATTTGAATTCGGCAGTCCGCTCGTTTCTTGCCGCCGCGCGACAGAACACGATTAATCGTACGATTACGTCGACAGATGTAGAGAAATTTGTGCGGCTGAAGCTTTATACCTTCACCCCTTCCACCCCCCACGCCCCCCTGGCGAACGATGAATCAAACACGTTCACGTGCAATCCGCGGCCCTTCCAACCCCAACCCGCTCAAACCCCTCGTCAAGCGAGAACAGGACCGTGTTAACTGCGACCGTCGAATTCAAAATGCGCGTCACGCAGGGAAAGTACCGCTATAAATAATTGAAATATAATGTACAAACGTGGAACAACTACTTCTTCCTCTTTAGCTTTCCTCGCAAGCGGCTCTCTTGTCCCGCAGAACTATTGCCCACCCCCCTCGTCCGAGACAACGTGAAAGATATTATTAGAATAAAGATCTGTGACTGAAACAATAAAATGCTCTATTTTTATGTTTTTCGTAACACCTACGTCTACTTTCTTGTTATTTTTCCGAGTCCCGTGTTCCGACACCTTTCCCCCTCGATTAGATGTAATCAATTCAGTAGACACGATATGGGATTAACGAGAAATTCAATTTTTCTTCGAGAGTTTTCGATTTCGACGAGGTAAAAATATAGAAACTTCCTGTCGCAGCAACCAGCCCGGTCTGCCTTTCGGGAGGCGAATTTCAACCGCGGAGACAATACCTTATGCTAATCGAGTCACGTCTGTTTACATTGTCATCACGTTTCGTTACCGTTACAACGACGGAATAAGTAATGAGGAGGCCGCCCGGCCTCATTGTAATAGAAATCAGATAGTTTGGTAAAAGACCGTTCGGCGGAGCCCTCCGTTCGCCTTCACTGTCTTTGATCATTCCTCGTTGCAAGAACAACAACGTTATTTGCACGGAGGGGGGGGGGCGGTGGAGAAAGAGAACCAAATGGAACCTGGATCCGGTGAATTCGAATGGCGGGTAGTTCACTGCCGTTTATCGATCGGAAATAATTAAACTCGCTTCGTTTGCCCCGGGGGTAAGTCAAAGAAACGAGAATAGTCCGTGTTGTCCAATAATATAAAGTCGTTGCAATGAAGCACTTAAGAATCTTGGAACTATTACAAAATCCTTCTTTTATTTCGAGATCAATTAGGCCAATGCTCATCAGAATTTATATTGCCATTAGATCCTTTGAAACACAGTTATCCACTTAATGAAGAATGATTTATTACGTCGTAACATATGAAATGTCATTTTTCATTTTCATCGCGGATCCAATCAGCTCTTCGTGTTCAAGGCTGGTATCGATCCGAAGAAAATTTCGAACACTAATGACGAATAATACGTTCATCAGCACTATCATCCCCCAAAACTACACCAAGGTTAGTCAATGAGTGACCAAGGTTAAGTTCATCAAAGAAAGATTACAGTATAGAGTAACAGTTTCAGTCGATAAAGTTTTTTTTCTAAAATTGTCTGTAGCCAGAAAAGTTTTCAATGAATCGTGAAATCCCTATGTGTTTCTATAGCAAATATCACATAGATAAATAAAATTTATCTATAGTTTGCCCTAGGTCAAAGCATACGGGACATCTATGGCAAGAAAAAAAGAACACCAGCTCTGCCATTTCGTTTAAAAAGAACAGTAACAACATTTTCTTATACACCACATGGCACATAGAATAGAGCACTTAAAAGTGTCATCTCATTTGTTTCATAATTTCGCCAAAATCTCACGTATTATTTTCGGGCCTCCAAGGTGATCTAACCCCATAAAACACTTGGCTCTGCGTGCAGAAAAATTGACGTCACAGAAAGACTACGTATCTCAATGCCATCGTTGTTTCAACATCATCGAAGGATACGTTCCCCGAACATGCCCCAGAAAATTTCGTTCCACTCAGCACACCCACGGATTCCCAGCCTGTAGCACCTGAACGGTGAAAAAGACTCCTAGGCGAGCAGTAACTCGGGCAAAGCAACGATCTTCCTAAATGGACACTTCGCGGTCGCCGTAACTGGGCCAGCAGTCAAACGAGCTCAGCAAATTTGATCGGTACACACATTACCCCAATCCCGCTGCTGCTCTCTCGGCAAAGTGTTTACATAAAACCGAAACTTCGGGCGGGTCTGGCCGGTCGTCATAATTGAATTAGACGCGGTTCCGTGAAGTTCTGTGCCCGTTCGACCGCGTCGTCTTAATTCAAAGTTCTCCACTGCGCACCGGTTGGAGTTTAATTTCCAGGGAGTGGAACGTCGATAGGTGTCGTGAACGAAATGTCAGGTAATTTTTAAGATTGCCAGATGGTCAATATTACTGGTCGCGATATCGTCTATCGAGCGTCTATGATTGCTCGCTCGAGTAATCGGGCTGCGATTGCATCGATGCGCGCTCGGAGATATGACGCAAAAGCCGCGGTTGCGGCCACCCCGCCGCGATATTATGAATAACGCAAATATGTGTCACGGACCGGTGTACAATCACGATTACGTGAATTATGGAAGTACCGTGAGAGAGGGAGAAAGAGAAACAGAGGTAGAGAAAGAGAAACAGAGATAGTCCCACCCAGCAGCATAGCGCAACACGCCGAGCAGCGCGTTTTGTGGTTTGCTTAATGGCATTCGGAGAGAGTTTCGCATTGTGCGCCCGTCGTTTTCAGTAATAATTGTGATCGCGGTTTCCTAAGGTCTCGAGTAACGTTCGCTGGTAGCGATGCGAGGCACCGGAGCCTAGAACAATCATCGTCCGCCAATCAATGAATCGAACATCGCGATGCGTGCACCGAGATCTCATTTGCACACGGCGTGAAAGGACACCGAAGAACTTCGATTATCCTCGTTTGAACGTTTTCCACCGTTGGAAGATTAAACTCGACAGCGGGGATAGAACATGTATACTGGAAATTACGTAATCGTTATTCGAACTGAACTGTATGTTCGTTCGAACCGTACCTACCCAAGACGGACTTGTCTTAACCCTTCAACGTCCAGATCTTTAAATCGTTATTTGAATATTGTGCGACTGATATATATGTTGTATCTTGTTATTTTGAAGTCGAAAACATCGATATTAAGCAGACTTATGTTTTTATTTTTTTATTTATCTTTGTAGGAAGTACTGGAATTTCTCAACTGAAAACGTGGAGATCTACTACACATCAGTGAAACTACGTATCCGTCCTGATTAAAGTCAGATATTAACCAACGACAGAATATGCAACACTAGGTATTAAGGGGTTGCAGTTTCGGTGAAAACGTTGGCTCAGCAAATAGGGGGATGTCACGATCGTATCGAGTGTGGACCAGAAAACAATCCGAACAGAGCACTACGGGAATGACAAGTTATAATATACCTTTGATAAATTCAACGGGTTTGCTTTAACGTCGATAAAATTACCCCCACACCCCGCGAATATTTGCGTCCATTTTACGAGGGGGCAATAACAATTTGTTCGAGCGGAAACGAATAATTACGTAAAGTGCACGCTTGAATAATTGAAGTATCTACTTCGTGGGGGTAGCATGGACCATTCTCACGT